TGTTTTCAGGAGCCTCACTTTCAGTTTCTCAAAGAATCTACAGACACACCTCCAAAGTTCAGTCTTAGAAGCTGGTTGATGATTTTTTGAAGTAATCAAACACATTCTGTGATGTTGAGGTCTGGACTCTGGGGTGGTCAGTCCATCGTTCAGCTTCTTTGTTTGATGTGTCCGTCTCCTTTTCTCAGTGAGGTTCTTCTTGATCAGCTACACATCCTTTCAGATCCACAGCGCTGAGTCGTCTTCTCACAGTGGAAGGATGGACAGAAACACCTGTGGATGTTTTCAGATCTGAAGCAGTTTGATTTTCTCCTCTCTCTCAAAGATGAAAGCTTTAAGTGCTGTTTATCTGATGGGGGCAGTTTTGGTGTCTACCAGGTCTTCCAGGTGGTTGTTAGGAGGCACATTTTCTCTGCAGCTTCTAATCGTAAAACTCCAGTTTTAGAAACTCCTGTTTTTTGACTCTCTCCTTTCTTATATGCATGTGAATTATCTTATATCTAATCTCCCCACAACTGAAGAACTTCATGGCTGTTTTGGCTGGCAATTTATCGTTGACTCCCCTCGTAGCCATCGAAGAAGTACATGTGGGTGGAGAATAGATAGGTCAAGATATCACAGGGTCTCTCTCTCTCTCTCTCTCTCTCTCTCTCTCTCTCTCTCTCTCGGGTGGGGGTGTCCTGGGCTTTCCGCATCAGTAATGTAGGCCGCTGTCAGGCCGCTGTGGTGGGGTTTGTGGGGTCAGACGTAAGCAGTAGTGACAGGCTGTGGTTCTGTATGAGTTCTGCTCATGCTGAGAGCTGAAAGCTGAGTGGTGTGATTTATAATTCAGATTAAACTCCTCGTCCCTCCACAGGAAACGCGCATATCACACAGACCGGCCTGCTGAAGATCGTCTGATATCACCTCTTTAACAGCACAAAGACCACAGCACCCCTCTCTCTCTCCTTTATCACACTCTGTCTCTCTCTCCCTCCTTCTTTCTCACTCTCTCTGTCTCTCTCTACTTCTCTTTTCAATGTTTATCTCCTGCACTCTCTATCTTTATTTCTCTTTCTCTCTCACTCTCCCTCTGTTTTTATTTCTGATTCTCTCTCTCTCCTTTCTCACACTCTGTCTGTTCCCTTCCTTCTTTCTCACTGTCTCTCTCTTTCTATCTTTATCTGCTGCACTCCCTCTATCTGTATTTCTCTTCCTCTGTCTCTCTCCCTCTATTTCACATTCTCTCTCTGTCTCTCTCTCCCTCTTTCTTTTTCCTGTCTCTCTCTATTTCTCTCTTTCTATTTTTATCTCCCGTACTGTCTCTTCCTCTCTCTCTCCCTCTATCTTTATCTCTCATTCTCTCTCTCTTTCTGTCTCTATCTTTATCTCTCACTCTCTCTTCCTCTATCTTTATCTCTCACTCTCTCTCAATCTTTATCTCTCGTTCTCTCTCTCTACGTCTCTCTATCTTTATCTCTCGTTCTCTCTCTCCACTTCTCTGTATTTCTATCTCTCGTTCTCTCTCTCCACGTCTCTCTATCTTTATCTCTCGTTCTCTCTCTCTACGTCTCTCTATCTTTATCTTTCGTTTCCTCTCTATTTCTGTCTCTATCTTTATCTCTCATTCTCTCTCTCTCTACTTCTCTGTACCTCTACCTCTCGTTCTCTCTCTCTACGTCTCTCTATCTTTGTCTCTTGTTCTCTCTCTCTACTTCTCTGTACCTCTACCTCTCGTTCTCTCTCTCTACGTCTGTCTTTGTCTCTTGTTCTCTCTCTCTACTTCTCTTTATCTCTCGTTCTCGCTCTCTTTACTTCTCTGTACCTCTACCTCTCGTTCTCTCTCTCTGTCTTTATCTCTTGCTCTCTCTCCACTCCTCTCTTTCTGTCTCTCTCTACTTCTCTATTTCTGTCTCTCTCTCTACTCCTCTCTATCTTTATCTCTCGCTCCCTCTCTTTGATTTGACAGATATTTAAATCATCTGATGTATCGGTTTTGACAGATACGTCCATGACTGATATCAGATATCGTCATCCTCATATTGGTGCGTCTCTATATCAGACTAATTATTTGAAGTCGGTGTGTTTGTCCAGGTCAGCGCATTAGAATCATTTTACACATTTTTCTGGCAGACTAGTTTTTATATCATTAAAAACAGTGACTCCAAACTATTGAACAGTGTTACTGAGGTCAGGTGAGGTCAGCAGCTCCACTCACTGTATTCACATCCGGATCAGACCATTAGTGCTGTTAGCCTGCTAACACACTGCCTAATGAGGACTGTCACAGTGTGTGTGTGTGTGTGTGGGTGTGTGTCTGTGTTTATCAGGGAAAATGAACGTATATCAGTGTTAATAATTACTCCACACTAAAAGCTGGGTGTTCAGATAAATATCCAAAATTGTGAGGTCCCAAAAATAACAAATACCACTAAAGTGATGAATTATCAGCTCGGGTTACTTTTCCCCGTCTCACTTTTCCTATTTTCTTACTTCTAGCATGTTTAATCTCTCCTACTTCTCTGCTTATATGATAATGAGGGGGCGTGTCTTGAAGATGTGGGCAGTATTTAATTCATCACATATTAAACTCAAATATATGGCAGTGATTCTCAGAGATCATAAGCCCCAAAAACATCACCATCAAATCCCTTACACAACTGGGTAGTTAAAGTTGAAAAGAAAGACGGATGAAAGGAGAAATGAGAGGGAGAGAGAAAGAAAGAGAGTGAGGAAGGATAGAGAGGAGAGAGAGTTCTGTTCTTTTTCCTTTTCTTTATCGATTCCGGCTCCTCCTGGCTGCCTCTCAATAAAAGCTCAGAGAGGAAGTGGCTGTAATCCTGTTCAGACTGGAGGGAGGGAATCGATTCAATTAGCCATGGCAACCAGCCCACCACTCTCTCTCCCTCTGCACTTCTCATCTGTCTCATTCAATCATCATCTGTCATGCCTTTCATCCATCCGTCCATCCATCCATCAGTCTTAATCCCTCTCCATCAGTTTAGCAGGGAGCTGTGTGAAGCTGAGCCTCAGGGCTGCAGCAGTGCTGAGTTTAGAGTCTAACCTGCTCTAACTAACCTGATTCAACTCAATTCAGTTCAAACTTACCTAAATCAACTCAATTCAACCTGATTCAAATTATGCTTCACAAATGAACTGATTCTTGGATCAGGCCCTTCTTACAGCACTGGCCACTTTATTAGAAACACTTACCTTGTACTTCCACTAAATGGTCACTTTATTAGAAACACCAACTTTGTGCTTCCACTCACTGGCCACTTTATTAGAAACACCTACTTTGTGCCTCCACTAACTGGCCACTTTATTACAAACACCTACTTTGTGCTTCCACTCACTGGCCACTTTATTAGAAACACCCACCTTGTACTTCCACTAAATGGCCACTTTATTAGAAACACCCACCTCGTGCTTCCACTAACTGGCCATTCTAAAAGTAAAGTTTACCTTATGGGTCCACTATACACACTAAGTTTCCAGCTAATTGATCCTATGGTGGCCCTTTTCCAGTGTTGAAGATAACAGCACACCAGCAAAGTGGAGCTACAAGAACAGACTGTATAGTGGATGATGTATGTTACAGATAAAGTGTAAACTAATTCAGTATACTTTGCTTTACTAGACCAATCACAAGCAAACCCACTTCCAGTATGGCCAAATGACCATCAGCACACCATAAAGTGCCACATGCATTTCCAATCAGAAACAACCTGCAGAGCGTTCTATTACCTGCTTACTGATACAGACTGTAGGTTCAACTTTGGCTGTCAGCCGTTAGCATTCTGGTTGTCCTGAGGCTAATCAGCTTTCTCCTGCTGTAAACTGACTGAGCTTTCTAACAGCACGAAACTCTTATATTTGCTCTCTCTAACTTGAAAGAAACCTCTCAGAAAAGATCAGGGAGATGTACTTTATTTTACCGCCAGACACAGCCAGCACAGATCAGCTAGCATCTGCTGTGGAACACGGTGTGGGTGGATATGTGTATGTGTCTGTGTACCGCAAATGTTTACTGAACTTTAAGGTCATAGCTGGGCAGAAACCTTGAACACACTCTGTCCGCTCCACACCGCCAGTCAACAAGGACGCACAAATAAACCCTCCGAACCCCCCACATGCTGTGGGACAAGGACGCGCACCTCTCAGAAAACAAAACATTGTTAGTTCGGATCTGGCAGCCTAAAGCAACACAACGTAAAAAATAGTGTCCGTATCATGAAGTTTCATATCTGTGAAAGGCTCTGAAAAGTTTACAGTAGAATGAATGAAACATCTTCAATGTATGTTGATATAATGAGATTTTATTGTAAGGTTTAGGACTATTTCTATCGGTGCATTTGTCATTAAATGTTCAAACAACATAAAGGGAAGGCGGTGTCTTCAAGTTATGTCCATAAAATAGATCTGATATGATTAGTTGAGGGTGAGGGTGAAATTAAAGTAAGTCTCCACATCCAAGACTCTGGATGTCTGGAAAAATGCCATACAAGGTCAAAAATTCAGAATGATCCTATGCATGTCAAGTGCATCACAGAATGCTTTTTAAATGAAACAGTAGAAGCCATATCGCCCCCTACACTTCCTGTAGTGTATTAAAGTCTGTCAGAATGACTGTGTGGATCATATGAACATTATAGAGCACTTTTTAAATGAAACAGTAGAAGCCATATCGCCCCCTACACTTCCTGTAGTGTATTACAGTCTGTCAGAATGACTGTGTGGATCATATGAACATTATAGAGGCTTTTTAAATGAAACAGTAGAAGCCATATCGCCCCCTACATTTCCTGTAGTGTATTTCAGTCTGTCAGAATGACTGTGTGGATCATATGAACATTAGAGCACTTTTTAAATGAATCAACAGACGCCATATCGCCCCCTACACTTCCTGTAGTGTATTACAGTCTGTCAGAGTGACTGTGTGGACCATATGAACATTATAGAGTGCTTTTAAATGAAACAATAAAAGTCATATTTGAATTAGCAATTATATGTGTACTCACATTTGCGTGTGCTGGGCTGAGGTGTGTCCAGGCTCTTGGTGCTGCAGGGCTGGAGGGCGTGCTGAGGCCCGGTCAGGCCGTGCTGGGCCGGGTTCTGCCTCCGCTGCAGACACGCCAGCATCTCTGCACACACACACGCACTCCTCTCGCACGCAAACGGGCGATTCTACAGCCGCCGAGCTACCCAGGCCGACCTGCAGGAAAACAAAACACAACAGCACCATAAATAAACAAAACAAACAGAGATGCAGCTGAAGGAGATGATATAAGATAAGAGTGGTTAGATATAAGATAATCCGCTTGTGTAAGAAAGGAAAAGGAAAGCAAAATAAGTGAAAAGCAGGGGTGGTCAAAACGTTCAAAAAAGGATTAAAAGCTACACAGAAAATCGGACTCCTGGCAACCACCTGGAACAGCTAGCAGACCACCAAGACAGCTTTGAAGATGTAGAAAAATATTCCTGCAGATTCCTTTGAAAAGCTGAAAGTGAGCCTCGTGAAAAGAATGAAAGCTGTAATATTATATTTCATGGTTGAGGTTTCTGTTTAAGTTTCTGCTGAATATTTTTTTTCTGCTGAAAGATGATTAACTAGTACTTAATGGGCATTTTAACTGGAAATAAAATAAATTAATGCACAGTACTGTACGTGTGTGTGCAGTGACAGCTCTAATCAATCTCTCCTCAGGTCATACATCTCTGCTGCACTCCTCAATCATCCTTCCGTCCCTCTTTCTCCATCCACATATCCATCATCTCTTCCTCTTTCATCCCCTCTTCATCCACTCCTCTTCCTCTCTGTCACTTGCACATTGCATGTTTCATTGTACATTTCATCTTTTCATTTGTTCCCCCATCTCTCCTTTGGTCCTTCACACCAAAGTATGGAAACCCATTACCGCCACTTAAAATAAATAAACACCTATTTTTTTTTTTAAATTAATTGCATTTTTGTGATACTAAGTGATCATTTTTAGATACTATCCCATTATTTTGAGATACTACCTCATTATTCTGAGATGCTAAGTCATTATTTTGAGAAACGTTCTCTTCATTTTGAGGTGCTTTATGCTTTTTCGAGTTGAAAATATGAGGCAAATGTAGCTAACAAATAACAAAATAACATTACATTCAATATTTTTTTCAACACAGCAAAAATAAGGAGTGGCGGAAAATGTGTCTAATGTTTCCATTTTCAGTTTATTAGAGCATTTAACATCATACAAGTACAATATTCAAAACAAAAACTGTGCTTTATAGTGTCCTGATTTAATCTATCCACAAGCTCATATATTGGCCCCAAGCTAACACATTAGCCACTAACTAACTTGCTAGTTACGGTTCAACAATATGATACAATATGATACGAGATGCTGTATTGTTACATCCCTAAATGGAAGCTTATATCATACCAAATAGCACCATGCTAACTGCATGTTAGATTGTGGCTACTGTGTTAGTTAGGGGCCAACATATTAGCTTGGGGCTAGATAAAATCAGGACACTATGAAGCACAGCTTTATACACATTATTATGCACATTATAACCAAATCAAAAACCAGGAAACCAAAACTGTGCTTTATAGCGTCCTGATTTAATCTAGTCTCAAGCCAATTTGTTGGCCCAATATGATACAGTTTGATACAATACGATATGTTGTATTGTTACATCCTTAACTGGAAGCTTGTATTACACCAAATAGCATCATGCTGTTTGCCTAAATAAATCACACTGTGTGGAGCTGTTCAGTATCTCTAACAGCCTTAATTATGTGGTTTTTGACACTGTACGGCACACTGTTATCTGTAAACAAGGACGGTATTAGCTTTGAGGCAGGTATGTAATGATGTAGGTACAATGCTAGCTAACCTGATGAGCACAACCAGAAAAATGATAAATGAAGAGACTGGTCACTAGTTGGAATATGAATGTGAACACCTGTAACACTAAACATGGCATCTGTTCAAAGAGAAAGTCCCGCCTTTCAAGAAAAAGAGCCAGTCAGCTTGCTGGTTACGCTGCGAGTGGACGATATTGTGGCGCTAGTGGGGACGGCCCCACCTCTTTGTGAAGTTCTGTGTAAGTGCAGTAGCCCGAAAAACCTGAAAAATCATGTTTTTTTGTGCATTATTGAGCCAAACGCTACAAACCATTTATGAGGTTTTTGTCAGATATTACTGATGCCTTCAAATATGTTTCTGAAACACTAATTTGACCTTCTGTTACGAATATTTTGGTCTCTCCTCATTCAAACAGATTGTCTTGTATAGCTCAAAATAACTGCCTCCCAGCGTTGGAAAAATGGCTGCCAAGTGAACAGAATTTCCTATAAGGACTTTGGTGTAAAATTGCATTACTTGTTAGTTACATTAGCCTCGTGGCTCAAAACTAAAGAAGCAAACTTCAGACACCAAACATGTCTTGGCTGATGGACTATGTTTGGAGTAAGGACATCATGACTCTTTCGTACATTTGGTTTTACTAAACTACTGCTTAAATCCTTACGGAAACACAGCAGCTTCTGCTTCGTGGAAACAGATTAGCCTCTCAGGAACTACATTTCCCAGAAATCCCTTTCTATTAGCTTAGGGAGAACACACAGGGGCCTAAAAGGAGGAGATGGAGCTTCTGCAGAGGAAAACAACAGCAGCAAACAATACAATATGAATGATTTATGACTCGTAACTTATTGAAACAAGTGGGGAAATTTTGTGGAAAGAGCAGATACGAAAACTTTCGATCGATCAATAAGCATCCTTTACATTTTTGCCATGTTTTGACGTTGCAACAAACAGAAAAGCAGTCGGAGATGAAGATTCAAATGAGAATGTGAATACTTCTGTGTAATGAATGACACTGTAATCGATTAATCAATCATGTAATTCTATTTTAAAAGCATAGCGAAAGGCCAGTCCTAACTGTGATGCGGTGTGATCTATGTGCAGGTGTGGATGTGTTCAGTCAGCGAGGTCGTTACTCAGAGTAACTGATGGAGATCACAAGAGACACAAAAGCAGATTCATTACAGTAATTAGGAGTTAACTGTGTCTCCTTCAGGTCCTGGAGACAATGTCACCCCCCCTACTCCTCCGCCAACTCCCCCCAACACACACATGAAAGCAGTCAGGCATAACTTATAGCAAATAGCACACCTGCTAATCCATTATTCAACGCCGTTCAGAGAAGAATACCACTATACATTACATTTAGAGCCGTCACTATCTGTTATATTAGTAATCTGGTAATCTACTGATTATTGTGGACATAATGGATTGGTATCGCTATCGGCAAATATTAAAGGTTTTGATATCAGCATAAGAAAAGAAAACGTGGTACTGTGTCATCACTATCGGACATAAAAACTTAAGCTTAGTGATTTTAACGTGAAATTCTGGTGCACTCTAAGAATAAAGTACAGGGCAACTGGTTTAGTTCATTGGGTTCAACAACTTTGCAAATACAAATCACGTCCAAATATTTGACTGTTTTCTAGCCATCTGAATTAATGTGTTGACAATCTGTTCCTTACAACAGCGAGGCCGGTCTTTATGAAGTTTACTCCCAACATATATAGATGGATAGATATGTAAACATATATACATATGTATATGTATATATATGTTTTATATATTGTCGATGTTCAAAATAGTAACTTTACAGGAGAGGGCAAAAACGCCCTTAACTGTAAATGTAAGAGATTTTATTCTAAGTGATTTTAAGGCATTTTATTGGTCCAATCATGACAGATTTTTTTTTGGACAGTGACAATATATACATGTTATTAAAAAGAAAAAAAAAATATGTGTGTGTGTGTCTATATATGATAGCATGTTCAAGAAATGTGTGGCATGTTCATTTCAGGACTCTTATTCTGAAAGGTGGTGCTAGCCCGCTGGCTGTAGTTACGCTATAGAACAGGGTTATACGGAGCTGAGTGCTGACAGAGTGCAGACCTGAGCTGAGTGTAGAGTAAGCTGTTAGCCAAAAGCCTTGCTTACTGTATGGCGGGACTGTGGCTGTCTACAGCCGGTTAATAAAGCACAGTAATTTGCGCATCAACTGTGCTGATCGTCTTTGTTGCTAACGATATTATGCACCTTTTCGCACCCACCATTCAAAAGCTGCTGAAGAAAGACCACCCACGAAATGTGAGCGGTCAAGCTGTGTACTGATTTCTTATTTCTCACATCAATTCAATTGCAGCAGGTCCCCCTTCCTGAAACTGCACAATTGATATGAATGGTAAATTGAGCACTCAAAACTGAAAAGGCAGTGAGTTTGCAGGTATGTTCACTTTCGGCTGATTATTTTATAGACTAATCAAGCTGAATATGGTCATCGTAGCAGCCCCACATTGAGCATCACTCACTCAGGAGAAACAGAGAGCTCTGCTTTGGCTCACTGAGGTTGGCTTTTGTCTGTAGAATGTAAGGACAGTAATTTCACACCTCTGTTTTCAGCTGTGAGGGTCTCAGTGCCCCAAATGTCCCCAAATATCCTCATTTTTACTCATCCTCCAAGAAAAATACCTCCATCAGTCTCTATTACAGCTCACCCACCCACAGCAGACTGCACACGGACTGCATACTGGAATCTTCTTTCTGTTTCATTTCTAAAATCAATTCTCTATTCGCTCACTATTAATACTCCTTCTCTCTTTTTCTTCTCTGCCTTTTCTCACTCTTCTCTTTTTCCTTCTCTCACTCTTAGCTCTTCTCTCTCTCTGAAGGGTGTTGTTTAGTAATATATAATCTGCTGCTGAAAAAAACAAACAACAACAACAAAAACAAACCTGAGGACCACCTCGTACACACACACTGTGAGATTCACTCTGGGGGAATTAAGCTCCTTCCACAAGATCAGAGCGCAGGGGGTGGACGATCAATACAGCGAAATACGGAGAGAGAGGGAGAGAGAGCGAGAGATATCTGAAGTTAATGCTCAGTGTTATTTAACCCCTGCAGGCCTCCTAGTGACCATTCCACTGGCAGAATGGAAATCGACTTGGATATTTTTAATAATATAATCGATTAAAAATGTTTATTTCAAAATATAAGGCTACGCTGAGAGGACAGCTTGGGCAGCTGGTCGATGTTACACACGTAGTGTACTGGTTCTCTTGCATGCATGTGATCTTTTTTCTATTCATGCAATATTAGGTTCTCCTAGCACATGGAACAATAGCAGTAGCAACGT